CCCCCCCCCCAAAAAAAAAAATTGCTATGCTTTTAATTGCTGAACTGATGGTTTCTGTTGGTTATTCAAAGGAGCTTAGTTTGGTTATTTCACTGTGAACAAGAGCAGTGGTGGTGGTAACATAAAACTAGTAGAGTACCACTTCAATTTCCTTTGTCTATGATTTAATTGAAAGGAGGTTTTAAAAAGTCAGCTTAGGAAAATTTCATTTCATAAATTCAGAAAACATCTGTCCTCATGACATAAGTATTAGTCCTTCAAACACCAAATCTATTATTGTCTATTTAAATTTTATAGAAAACCTCAGTATGCTGTTCCTGCCAGCCAAGGCAACTTGTTTCTGTGTATCATTCCCCCACTTCATAAATACTACTTTGCATATAAACATTTATACCAGTATCCTAATTTACATCACTGTTTTGCATGTCTGTTACATATTATTGTTGTACATGAAATTTTTATCATTACTTCACCTCAGTTACACATATATGCAAATAAATATGTTATATTTTACATTTATTTCAGGATCATAGTAAAATTTGTGAGTGATGACATTAATGCCCAGCCAAATCACACCAAGAGCAACAGCGCCCCTCCACTGACCCAAACGCAGCAGCGCCTGGTGACACTGGTATATACATTGCAGTCACAGCACCAACAGTATAAGGATCTGTTGGAAACTATTCTGTTGGGCATAGAGTACAGGCTGTTTAGGCTTGGACATGTACCAAATGTTAGTATCAAATAATGGTTTGTAAATACAGTGCAAGAAATTAAGGCTTTTGAAAGTCTGGTCAAGTTTGTATTGACCTATGTTAAGTTTAAAAAAAAGGCATATAAATTCCTTACATTATGGTATCTTATTTATTCATTTGTCAGACTATTTGTATATCACAGGTCAGAAAAAAATGGAAGCTGTATTAATCTGTCTCGACTCAGAAGGCTGCTATGGACACTTCACTGCCTTCATTAACATTTGAACTTCTGGTGTCATGTGTAGTTAATTACTCAGTTTCTGTGACAGAGTGTTTTCTCGTTTCTTTTTTCTCCCAGCTGTTGTGATTGAAGTTTCTGTGGATTTCATCAGTTCCTGGGCAAATGGTGGCATAATATTTTAAAATAGGCTGTGACTGCCTTTTAATGTTATGCAATGTGCACAGTTGTTGTTGCTGTGGTTGTCGTTGTTTTTCTTTCTTTTCTTTCTTTCTTTCTCCCCCTGTTCTGTCTGACGACAGGTCCATATGAACAGGATCCTTCCATCCTTTTCTCGGACTGGGACCTGTTCATATACGTTCTTGGCAGATGATCCAGAAGTGGTTTGCCATTGCCTTCTTCTGTGTGTAAATGGAGTAATTGTTGGGATGCCACGGAGAAACCGGGGAAGCCCCTGGAGGAAAACTCCATGTTGCCTAGACCACGGCCTTGCCCAACACAAGTTAATAAGTTAAAAAGACAAGGTGAAGGATGTGTACTAGTAACCTTTTTTTTATACAAACCAATTTCTGTCTTTGCCTCTAGGTTATACGATCATGTTCTCTGGCCAGGTTTCATGCAGCGCTTTGTCTCATACGGCAAGACAGGCAGCGTGTACAGGCATTTTGCTATGATTCGATGTACTGCCTGTACTACAAAGCATTTCCTCTGCTGTTCACTGTATACACTACATATCCAGATGCTCTGCCACATGCTAGTGTGGGAAAAGGTAAGGAAAGTTATGTTGGATGGAAGATTGCTGTTTTCATACTCACCACCTTGAGAACTTAAGCATGTAATATCATCAGATTACTGAGAGAGATATGTTTATTGCAAATTCTGTCAATATTGGCAGCACTGATACAGGATTTGAGACTTTCGCGGTGAGTACAATCAATAAAATCTTCTCGGGCAATCAGCTGCGTTAGCCGGTTACCGTAGTAAACCGACATTTCAGGAACAAACTCTGTCCCCATCTTCAGGGTTCTGATGTGACTGTATCTTCGGAAGTCGCCTGTGTAACTGCCTGCTTGGGACCAGGCCCAAGGAGCTAGGGGGCGGAGTCAAGCGCTCTTGATATTGCCCCAGAAGTGAATCTTAAGAATGGTTATAATCCAAATGACAACATTTCTGTTTGCATTGATACACAAGCAGGTTAGTTGAGGAATGAGACGTCTAACATATATATAAGTTATCTGGTTCATGTCTCAGGTAGAGTATCATGTTTCTGCACTCAGTGTCTGTTAAATAGTGCCTGGATGCAGACCACAACCACAGCATTCCACATCCCCCCGCCGTTCTTTCGAATCATATTTAGTGCTGTGTGATATTTGAGATTATCAGTACCCTGAGGACGAGGACAGAGATGGACCTCGAAACGTTGGTCTCTTCATGTTTTAACCACTTTATGCGGCTGATAGCCCAAGAGGATTTTATTGTAGTGGTTAAGATGTTGATGTTCTGGGTAGTGACACTGTGTACTTGTAGATAGACATCAACATTTCAAAGAAACATGCTTTCTCCATCTCTGAGTCTGAAGTCCTGAAGATGGAGACAGTATGCTTCACTGAAATGTTGGTGTCTATCTACAAATCCATACAGCATCACAACTCACAAAAATTACACCGACATATTCAATACTGATTGGGCCTTAAATATAAATTACAGTTGATACAGTGTAATTAAATAACCAGGAAATTGGGTAATGGTTTTTGTTGTCAAGTGTTGATGTTCTCTTTGTTGCAGACAGCATGTTGATGATGACCATGACCAATCTCATTCTAATGCAATCAACAGACAAGACCCAAACAGAGTACAGAATCGAAGCTTTCAAAAAACTTCTACAGACACGCTATGGTTACAGTCAGAGGGTCCTGACGACTGAACAGCTGTTTCAGGTGCTTGTAGACCGGTTAAGGAGCTCAGGTTTGTAGCTTATCAAAGGAATAAGTAAGAGTTTTAATTTTGATGTCTAGATTTCTAATAGATGTGTGTGTCCTTGTATCCTTGAGTGTTTTTTCTTTTTTTGTTTGTTTCTCAGGCCTGTCTCAAACAATTTTTATTAAATGTCACTCTTCTTTCATGTTTTGTCTCCATGAAACCTGTGTCCCAAAAATTTAAATCAACTGATCAGTTTCCAAGAAATTTGGTTTGTGCAGTATATCATTGGAACCTTACCCAGCCTAATATTCTTTAATTTCCCATGGTCTATAATAAGAGTGGAGAAAGTGTATGAACTTGTGAGTTGGGAGTGACACTAGCAGCGTTTATAATAGGGTCCTCATTTGTTTAGTAATAGGGTTTTGCTGCATCTTTTGTTCAGGTAATTTTTGTTAGGTGTGTGTGTGGGGGGGGGGTGTTAGAATGTTAAGCATCAACATGGTTCTGCAAAACTTTTCAGTAAACTTTCAGTTTGACAGCAGCAACTCAGTAACATGTTAACTGTTATATTTAGGAATATGAAATTTTGTATGAAGGTAAATTCTGAACTTTCTTATACTTTATGAAACACTTTTTCAAACTTGGCAACAGTGTGAAACTTTGAGATTATATCCAACAAATTTATTGTAGACAGAATCTGTACCTAAATAACAAGTTTTTTCACTACCTCCACAAAACGGTAATAATAATTCAATTTGATTCATTTATTAGAGTGCTTGGCAACAGTCAAAGAAGGCCAATAACAGCCAAGCACTAAGAATAACAATACAAAAAATACTACTAATAATAATAATTGGCCAATATCCCAGGCGAACACAACATCAGGGAACTGCAGAAGACCACCATTTTGGGAACTTCATACATCATTCGAAAGATGCTGTCATAAAATAAAATTATATAATACATGTAGCACTTGCTAAAAACAATATGTATCCCGGAAATAGCTGCTGCCTATGTACCTTAGGGACAAGGTCTGTCTCGGGTACATGGAAGTACATACCCCATAAAGTTGTGAATATATGGGATAGTAATAATAATAACAACAACAGCAGTCTGTAACATATTTATAATTGAAGCCATAAAAAATTCTGACTTGTGTGATTTAATACTTGTAGTTATCTGCACATGGTCCCAGCATGTATGAGCTACATTTAATTTAATTATTACCAAAGTACATATAGCTTTGCACTATAAGACATTGAGGTCTGGAGGAAGTCTTCGAAGAAGGAAAGTAGGAATTATAGTATGATCAGAACTCATAGCAGCTTTAATAACCATTTTATTTCAGTAATTGCAAATTATTAATAAAGAACATATTTTTCTTCAGAGATTGGCAGAGGAAGGGTTAAATAATTTAAACATAACACCTGAAAGCCTGTAAAATAAGGACATGTTTTATAAATTAATGTTCTCTTTATACAGGTGGTCATGTAGAAGGGCTGGAAGCATCGCTTATTTTGGTGGCTAAACGTATAGGCTGGGACAGAAGTTACAAACAACTGCTGTGTCGTAACCTCGTCCCACTAATAGATGAGTGGAGAGCAGGTGCAGTGAATGATCTCACAATTCGTGAAGTGATCATTGTGATGGGTATGTATCATGAAGATAATGTTTTCAGGATCTTGAATTGGAAAGCTAGCACAATTATAATTTAGCAACAGTTGTCAGAACTATAGCCCAAATCTTTCTGTACCTTACAACTTTTTAACTTGCTTATGGTGTAAGTGTGTGACCTGTCCCAATTTACCATATTTTAACTGGAATTCTGAAGTCTTGTTTAACTAATGAAATGACATTATCTGTCAAGCTTTAAATTTTAATTGGTGACTTTCAGTTGTCTAATTCCCCCAACCTGCCCAATTTCATTCTCCAACTCCTTTCTGTAGTTTTTTTTATTATTTGTTCATTATGTTTGTTATTTTATCATGATATAATTGCAGAATGTAGCCAGTATGGATAAATAAAAAAAATATTTAACCCTTTGATTGGTCTACATAGCCTTCAGGACTAGGATTTTCTTGCAGTAGATGACAAACCTAGATGGAGTTTTAAAATATGCATTCAAAAAATATTTGCCCATCACCTAATAGAAATACACTATTTGTGTTCTTCCATACAGGTTATATTACGAGGTGCTTCCCAGTTATGGAGGCAAAAGCTTGCGTGCAAGCAGTATTGAACCTCTTGGGCAGCGTATTACTTGAACAAAATGGTAAGTGTCATTATATTATTTTTGATAACGTCAATGATATATGCAAAGTCATGCACTATTTTATTACTAATTAATGTTTTGAATATTCTTGTAACTACAACTCAGTGATATACTGGCAGTATTGCCACACTTTATCACCATATTGTTGCCATATCTTCCTTTTGTCAGTGACTGATACTTGATACCTTGAAAATCCTGCAAGTATCGAGATTGAAGTAATACCGGTACATTTACCTCTCATACACTCTGTAGAACTGGATATATTACAATCAAGTATGGTATTAACAGAGTCCCGCGCGGTCTGAGGCATCATGCTTCGGACCGGCGATACAGAATGCGCTCTGGTTCGAGTCTTGGGGGAGAAGAAATTTTCTCATGAGCTTTCGACCGGTGCATGGGACCGGTGCCAACCCAGCTTCGTGAGGAAAATGGGGAGCTACAATGAGTAGCGTAATCCGGTCATGAAAACTAGCAATGGCTGGGGGTTCGTCGTGCTGACCACACGTCACCCTATATCTGGTTGGATGATCATTCACCTCTGCTTAGGCATGTGAACGTGAGGCCAGCAGTCAAGCTAGTCGGCTTTGGCTCTCTGAAGCTGTTATGCCACGGATTTAATTTTTAATGGTATTAACAGATATGTCTCTTATATTTTTTTATCAGTTACAGATACACTAATATTTTGGGATATATCATAGTTGCTGAGTGTAATTTTTTTTTTCCCTTCCCTCCCCATCTTCACCTTTGAATTTCATGAAGACAGTACTTCTTGATCAGTTAAATAGCTGTAAACTGCTGAGGTTCGAATGTGTTCTATGGGGTTGGTTAGTCTGACAATAGAAGTCTGTTTCAGTCTCAATGGAAGTGCAAGAAGCAGCAGCCTTCAGTCTGCTCCGACTGTCAAGGCATAACTTCTGTTATGTCAGTGACGTGCTGGCAAAGTGGCAACCAAGCAGGAGCAATGTATTGGGCACTCTTCTGGAGGAAATGCTTTTGTTTTTTGAGACCAGAAATGTCAAGTGGTGGCACAACTTCCTGAAGAGGAAACGGGTGTGCTTTTAACAGAGAACATGAATGGTCTTGCATCATCAAAAATTAGGTTATATATTGTGGTTTGTTTAATAAATTATTGGATTTTTATGTTTGCTAAGAACAAATGAACTCCTCAAAATGAAAGTAGTGTAAGTCAGACTTTCCTTGGATCAAGAAGTAAGGCTTTGGATTTGCGTCTGTAATAAATTTTGGCTCAGTATAAAAGTATGGCACTTAAATAAATGTTGTCAGAAAAATTAAAATTGCAATTATATTTGCTGGTATTTGTCATATTCTTACTGTATGATGTTTTTATGTCCTCTTTAGACTTATACCACTTTATGCTGGAACACAGTCTGAACAAATCAGAAGACTTGTATCATTGAACACTAAAATGTTATTGAAAGGAGTCAGATTCTCACGAAATAACTTTGAAAAACTGTCACCACTTCACAGAATAACAATAATCTGTTACAAAAATACTCCAACTCATAGGGTGACAAAGGTTGACTTCATTTGTCTGTCCCACTGATTTTGAAGTACTGTAAATGAATTATGTAAGGACAGAAAGAATGGAAAAAGGTCAAGCATGTCTTTATTTTTAGACATGTTTGCAGAATTGTGTAGAATCATTACATTTGTTTATCTGTTTGTCTGTACTTTCATAAGCATCAAGTGATTAAACTAATTCTTAGTAAGTCTTGTGAAAAATTGTTTCTTAGATGTTACATTTTCCAACCCATACTAAAAAGCTACACCTCATGAGCAGCATGTGTTGAGAAATTTTTCTTTAAGTGTTGATGTTGCATGCAAATGCAATATAGAACCCGTTATCTGGTGCTTCAGAATCCAGTTATAATGTATTTGAAAGTGAAGTCATCACTAATTATTTTAAATTAGTGTGCTTAGTCTCTCTCTAATTTATTCTATTTTGATGATGCGATCAAATCCACATTGGTGGCACTTTATCCATGATTTGCCCAAAAGTATGTAAAAGAATTTGGCAGGAAGCCCTGTAGTTGTCAGAATAGTAACAGACACATTGTGTCAACACTCCTGGACATCATCAGTATTATTAGTATATTTATTGTTATTTTTCATCTCAGGATCACTGTTACTCTTTCTAATTCATGAGCTGATTGAGAAAGTACAAAGTTATCTTTACTTTGTACTAGAATAAGATGCTAATTAATTTTTGTTTGTTAACACAGTGATTTTCATATTTGGAGATTTTTAGTAATGACTCAGGTGTCATTATGTATGCTGTGAGATCTTCTGATCTCATGAACCTCCTTGTACATAAGTGCTAGTATATTGTAAATAAATTCACATCTTTTGTAGTTTATAAGTGAAGGTCTGGAATGTACAGAGAAAAGAAAGTACTTGAAATACAGGTGGAATATTGTGTCTGATACAATAAATGTGGTTCTAAATTGATTTTATTTATTTTTTTATTCCTTTCCTGTGTGAGTATTTTGTGAAATTTCTCTCCATGCTTTAAATTTTATATAATTTAATTTCTACTGAATAATGATTTTTATCAAACTGTGTCTGAGATAATGTGCCATATTTACAGTCATTTTTAACCATCTTTTACACTAAAAAGTCTTAAGTGTGTGGGCCATAGAATAAAATTGTGCATTTGGTTCCAGAGTTTTTTCATTCTTTGCACAACATGCATAGTGAGAATGTATTAGGGTCTGGACATGTCTGTTCATCTGTCCGTTAGTCCAGTCAATCAAACTTTAGAACCACTGGATGAAATTTGATGTGGATATTACGCTATTCTGCATGACCTCGCAAATTAATTTTGAATATCCTATGAGTGGTTGTGATAAAATGACGGATGAGGAAAGTCATGAAGTACACATTCCAATGCTGTGATCTGGTTCCCAAAGTGGGAACTATCAAACAAGGCTGATTAAATTACCTCTAAATGCACACTGCAAAGAATGGATGAATACACTTTCCGAGCTTGTTAACACGTATTGTTTAGTGTTACATTGCAGCTGTTGGAATCTGGTACCTACTTTGTTGATTCTCCAGTGTGAAAAACTATCAACAGGCTGACAAAATGTTAACTACTTTTACATCTGTTCACATCATGGAAATTTACTGTTAAAAGTAATTAATTATTTTTACCTAATAAACCATATGCATAGAAAACTGTCTATATTTGTAGTGCATTAAAAACTGTGAACATGAATATTACCTGAAAACTAATGTAAATGAATTGTTTTTGAGAGTGATTAAAATCAAGCAAGTCTACTAGTCAGATTTCCTGTAAGTGCTATAAGGCTGATACTTTGCTGTCTTGATTATTGGGAAGAGTTATTTGGGCATATTGGGGTAAGAAGCCATATGGAATGCTAGAAGTCATTCTGGTAAATAATCTTCATGATCACTTGGGAATTTAATCCTAACCATTCACTTGTTACATTGCGGAATTGCCAGGGTTTGGTTTTCGGACAAACCCCTGATGAAGGAGACAAAGACAGTTTCCAGAATTTGGGTACCAACTCCATTCTCACGTGCTTGTTCGCTCCAGAGTATACTGGACACAAAATGCCTGCGAGCCTGCTCCACTTTTCAGTAAAATGGGAAGGGCAGGACGCCGTATGTCATCGCGCGGCGGAAACATTCACCACTGTATATTTTGAATTCCAGAGATGATTTTCTCTTATATCCCATGAATCCGAAAGATAACAGCATTGTGTGATAAATGTGTGAAATTCATTGATTTATGAAGCAGGGTCACATAGAATGAAATTCCGTTTTTGTTACACATCCATAGGAATTTATAATTATTAATATACTGTGAACTTTAAATTATATGAACAAAGTAAATAAATCAAAATGGCCAGTAGTAATTATGTCGTTATTAGGAAGCACGTGAGTCATTTTGACCTTGACGCGTAGTATTTGAAATTCCAAGTGGGATTAAAATAAAAAGGATCTAGCTTTCATATAAACTTAGAAGGGAGTTATAGTGATATATGTATGCAATTTGTGTTAGAGTTACGTAGTTAAAATGTTTAACATATTTGGAAAGAAACCTACAGTGGAAGGTACATTTTTAAGGTTATATTGTGTTGTATTAATAGTTTATTGGAAGGAATTGCATATAAACATGCCTATACCTCCCGATTTTTATTAATTTGTGTGATGTTACCCTGCATTACAGAACAACAACGTGAAACTGACAGATCTCTCAGGAAAGTGGAGCGTGGTATAGAACGTGACAGGAGAGGACTGGAAAGAGAAGAAAAGAAACTAGTAAGATTAGAAAATTTGTAGTGCCTGTTATCTGTAGTAAACTACCGAACGCTGAGTATTGGTAATTTTTCCTTTTTTAATTGTATGGGGAGAAGTGGTATATATGTTCAAAGCTCTTTGCATGCATTTTTTATTACTGCTCTACTTCTAGGAACTAAATTATTACAGGTTACAGAAACCATGAACTTTCGATTTTAATTAATTCTAATGTTGCTTCGTTTTTAGGAATTGGAAATCAAGAAGCTGGCAAAAGAAGGCAACCATGAGGGATGTAAAATTCTAGCAAAGCAACTAATACAGTTGAGGAAACAAAAAACAAGGACATATACTGCAGGCAGTAGGGTATGAAAGATATTTTGTCACATTGTTATTGATATATCTGGTGACTTTGATGATCTAGAGGAGAGGTGCTGGCCTCCTGTGCCAGTGTCTGGGTGCATCTTGATCCAGTGCAGGTTTTTACTCGTGTCTTTGCCATCATTTTGTCGAGGTTAAAATGTTATGAATGTGAGAATACCAAATTTTCATTGTGGTGTGGTTTCTTATGTATAAGTTTATAAATTTTCTGTAAGTGACTACACATGACATGTTTTTTTCTTGTAGCAGAACAACAGGCAGTCAGAAACTCAGTAAAGTAACAACATGCATTTGTTGACAGAACACGACAAATTAGTTGTTACAAGTGTCATTCAGAATTTTGCAGTTCCTTTGTTAGAACCATTGGCATGTTGTGAAGTGTTGTTTCCACTGGTCACCTGCTGTGTTGTCTGTTTTTATATCCACCCCATAGACATTATGAACAAAGTATAAGACTGAAACCTGCCATTGGACCTTGTTAAATACCACCTAAAGTTTATGAAGGTTACATACTGAAGTGTGTGTTTGTGTTTATATATTATTATAGGTTCATAGTGTTGGAGTGTCCAATAAAGCCATGGGAGCTAACATAAAATTAGCTAATGCAATGGGCACCACTACCAAAACAATGGCAAACATGAATCAAATAATGAAACCAGAGCAGGTTGCAGCTGACATGCATGCCTTTGGACAGGCATCCATGAAAATGGACATGACTGATGAAATGAGTAAGTATAATTTCAGTTTGACTGTGTGGGACAAAGTAACCATTAGTTGATACATTAAATATGCACTTATGTTGAGCATTATCCATTGTTCATATTTCATATGCTTAAACAACAACTCTTTTCTTCATACTTCTTGTTACAACTAGCCTAGCTTATGACTTGTCAGAGTCAATGGGAAATTTCTTTATGAAGTAAATGTGACAACTTCTTCGTGGCGATGGAAGCCAGATTCCTGTTAAATGCACAAACACAACACTAATTGCTTGACTCCAGGCTTGGGACTCTTGCCAAACACAGACTTTGCCAGACCACATCATTGCCTCATTTGCAATCTTTGCTACCAGAGTCGTTACTGTCATAACTGAGTTTTAATTTTTCTGCATCACACAAACCGTGCACTTGGGTGAAGCATGATGGATGTTTGCTATTATGTTAAGAGTAAACTTCATTGACCCATATAAAGTGGAAGCAGCTATAGAAAGAGAAAATGCAATGTGATGCCCAACACATTAGCGTAGTGGTGACAGATTTCACGTGTGTTTTGAAGGTACCAGATTCCCATAAATTAATAGTTTATGCATTGTCACAAAATAACCAGAGAAGTAGCTAAATTGGAAGAAACTGGAATAATATGTAAAATTTTTTCCAGTAAATGATACGCTGGATGACATGTTGACTGAATCTGGGGATGAAGAGGAGGGTGACAAGGTAGTGCAACAAGTGCTGGATGAAATTGGCATTGAGATTTCTGGTAAAATGGCCAGAGCACCAGCCATTAGCCATGGAAAGCTTGGAGAGGGCTCCAAATCACGGCTTCCAACAGATGAAGAAATAGAAGCTCAGCTTGCAAAGCTCAGATCATAGCTTTGCGACAAACTGTTTCTACGTACAGTTATTATGCTCTGAAGCCAAGGGAATGGCTATAACAAATATTCACATATTTAACCCTATCCATGCAAATAAAATTGATTTTTTTAAAGCTTATATGTTTCCTGAAACAAATGCAGAGCTATTTATTTTTGTTGATCGCCACATAAAACATAAAAGTTATTGAATTATAATTTAGCACATTGCCAACATGACAGAAACAGCTTCTTCAGCTGCATCGTTGTCTACACATATGAAGTATAGGTCACACGAGTAGTGGTGGCGCCTAAATGCGCGATGTGTAAGCTTAGAGAGGGGAGTTCAGTAGTAGTGGGGGTCACGGCCTCGACTGTGGTGATGAACCAATCTAAGAGCTAGAAACCAACTGAAGCTAGTGCCAGCACTTCTCAGTCAGTCTCTAGTGGAGAAACTTCCAAAATTACTGTAGCAGGTATGCCATTAAATGATATAAATAAGGCATGAATAATGTGAAGCACTACTGAAGAGATAAACACTGAGAATATTCTGAATTTCTAAATGTGGATATTAGTGTCCGAAACATAACATTCTTTGATTTTATCACTTATATGAAATGTTGGTTATAAAAATTGTGTATAGTGCCTTATATCTTGTGAAAAGGTACAAGATTAGTTTTGATTTTTGGCTTCAGAGCTTAATAATTTACTGCAAGTTTATGTTGCTGTATCAGCTATATTTGTGAGTAATTTAACAATTTATCCATTTTTAAAATATCATCTTTGATCATAGAGATTCAGCAGTTCCTCCAGAATGTGAAGTAGCAAGACAAATCAAATTTTAAACCTGCTTATTCCTTGAGTACATTTTAATTGATTTCTGGGTTTTGTTTTAATTTGGCATAAAATAATCCTAAAAGAAAAATTGAACAAATATTTCAAAATCTAATGTATAAAATATGTTGTGTATGTATGTTGTAAATAATCTGTGGACATACAAATTTAAAATATGGTATGAGAAGGGTTTGTCAGGCAGTTTCAACAGTTTTAGTTCTTTATTTTTTGTTTTAGATTCAGTTATTAGATGAGTACTTGTTATAAATATTGCTTTGTAGAACTTCCGTCGACAGTAACCTAGGTTGGCAGACTTTGTTAGTAATTACTGTAGTTTGACGTGTACCGAAGAGATGGCAGCGCGAGTATATTCAGAGTTTTTGTTAGTAATTATAGTAGTTTGACGTGTACCGAAAAGATGGCAGCACGAGTATATTCAGAGTTTTTGTTGGTAATTATAGTAGTTTGACGTGTACCGAAGAGATGGCAGCACGAGTATATTCAGACTGCTGCCTCCAGCGCCTGTTATGAGTATCATCGTGAGCCAGTGTGTGTCCAAGTACTATTTTCTGTCACGTCGCCAATGCTTTCTGTTGGCAGGTTCCGAAAATGTCTTCTTGTCTAATGTTTGTAATAAAACCGTGTCAGCAAAATTTTAATTTGTTTTGGTGTTGGGATGGGACCAAAAAATGCAGCATGTTACAAAATATTCAAAATTCTACACAGAGTCTCGGACTTTAAACGATTATTATAGCTTCTCAAGGACTCGCTTAATGAAATTGAATGACGTAGTAGGGTCTACATGACAAGTATCCCCGTGATTTCTAATAACTAATGTTTTTATAATTTCTCGGACAGTGAAAGTATTTTGATCGCGTGCGAGGACTGGGAAGAAGACTGATACAGCTAACCGACGATCTGAAACAAGGAAAGAAGATGAAGTTCCAGGAACTAAAACGAGAATCTGAGAATAGGGAAAACTGGAGAGCTCTTTTTGGGCAGAACACTGAATAAATAAAGAATACAGCCGACAAGTGTGATCCTTGACTGCTAGTTCAGTACAGTTGAGCCAGCGCAGTATGACCCGCCAAAGTTGACAGGAATGGACCATTTTTGTGTTTAATATAACTTATTGCAGCATAATGTTTGCAAATTACTTGGAAAGTACAAAGTTTAACAAACTTTTTTTAAGCAAATGGCGACTGAAGCCAGATTCCT